GCCATACCATATGTTCATACATTGTATCATACATACTTGCCATTTTTGAAATAAATAATATTATCCCTACCATAAGTTGGTTGGTGTTGGTAACGCGCGTTTGGATGAAAGTGGGACCTCTGTTAATTATGGTCTCCTTGGCTGCGCATGGTTGCCGGAAGAAGGCAGTGTGTCATCGAATTGGTATATACGCCCTCATCCAGCTAGATAGAAAGGGCTCTGCCTCGAAAGCAGATGGCGACACAGCTAAATAACTATGTGCAGATTGGACCTGCGTGGTTTCAGGCATAGTCCATTTATTGCATTTGTTTGTACGCGGCCCTTCATGGGAGCAACAGCCTGTGCTCGAGTTGATCGTGTAATCCCAGTGCTCGGTCAGACACAAGGAACGTTCTTACCAAAATAGGCCTGTACTCGCAATAGCCGCGAGCCAAGACATATCAGCGCTAGTCTATCTTCTACAGAATTTTGATGGTTTAGGCAGATTGGGCCGACATGGTTTAAGGCGTAGTCCATTTGTTCCATCTGAATGTACGCGGCTCTTCGTGGCAGCAACAGCCTGTGCTCGAGTTTATGGTATAATGCCAGTGCTCGACCAGACACAAAGAAGGGTGTTACCAAAACAGGCCTGTACTAGTGTCAATAGTCGCGAGCCAAGACTTAGTAATAGTCTATCTTTTATAGGGTTTTGGTGCTTTAGTTAGGCCCACACGGCGCCAAAATGAATTGTGGACATGGATCAGTGGCTTATTGTCATTGAATAATCCATCATTATATAGTCCCAGTTGGGTTTACCAACACAACATCTGTGTACAGAGAATTATTTTATTGTCATGAGGTACAATAATTGGTGTACACTGGAGCTGGCGAAAGAATAATACGAATTATTCGGTATTTGGCCAGAAAGGAAAACAGCAAACATGTGTGATAAAGTATCATCTTTGCAATAGACGCGAGACCCATCCTTGCTACAATACACTATCAGCCGGTGGTCTTCATGACTTGCAACGAGCTCAAGTTAAAAAACAGCCCTAGAATGATTGGGCAAGGTCTATTCAGTCGCCATTGATATATAATAGCTCAATTGTTTTACTCCGACGTATCCGCCGGTGTTTACCTATAACTATATTGGAATGAGATATACACATATAACACGTTGCTGCAAATTATTTGCACATACTGAACGAAGGCAACCGTTACCTTGACCACTGGTGGTCTTACAGCTGCACGATTTGGTCTATCAAGGAGTAATTAAACGCGTAGGTAAAATCTAAGTATCGTGATAATTTCAAAGTAAATAAACGAAATGAGTCTTTTAGTAAAGTGAGGTATGCCTCGTGAAAACAGCAATACTCTGAGGGAGTGTGAGGCTGAGACATTGCCTATATATAATCCTCTCAGTACTGTTTTCGCCGAAGGGATTTTATTTAGTGTTTCGTTGTTACTCTATTAGAAACTATGGTATGTTTCGTTGGTGCGAATCTGAAAGACGCATAAAATCCTATCTTTAGAAAAAATAAAAGAAATAAAAGAAAAAACACTCTTGATGTCCTTAGTTATTGCCTTAACCAATAACTTGCGACTTATCAAGAATTACCGACTTAGCCTTCATCAGACTGGCACATCTGGTTGGCTGAACGGAGAATAAACTAGGTAACGTTAATTGTCCCTAGAAACCTATATTAGGTTGAGCCATCTCGCTACCGATGTATTCAGATATAAATATATTTGGAAAGTAAATATAGTTCTTATTAATAGAACTAGACCAAATCTTATGTTTGGTATTTTACTGGGGCCTTTTAATGGCCTTGTCCAAATATCTGATATGTAAAATCGAAAAGGTATTAATTAATAAAACCGTTAAAAACCCATTTAGGAAACTTAAGTTTCTCGTACTATTAAGAGTACGTTTATAGTTTACGTACTGCTTAAGAGTACGTTTATAACATAGAGTCTAATGTGGAGGCCCGGCTATTACACAGCCGCCTTAAATTCAAACTTTGTATTAGCCGCCAGCAGGATGGAGAACAACAATTTGGTTCAGGCAGCGGGATAAGTAGTCAAAAACAAGTGAAGAAACCACTCAATATATTCAATAGCGACACAAATCTGTATGTCTCACCCAATGCTACGCATCCAATGCTGGCAATTGACTAAGCGTGAAAGTGCATACCGACCAGGTGTGGTCAAAACCGAGTAACGCTTAGGTGTGTGAACTCAGTCAGAAGTGTAGTCGTAAACGGCGCGCCTGCTGTATTTATTAATCACGTTCCTGTGTTGGACGAGATTTTCTCTAACAACTGGGCATATTGTCAAGGTTTTCGTACCTAAAATGAGTTGTCATCCTTGTGCTCTCTCTCACTATATCCTATACTCTACAATCTAGTCCTGTCCTCTGGTCCGGTCCTACATCTCCGTCGGAAGTATTATGTAAGGCATTATCTGTCGGCTTTCGGTCGGGGAAGATCATCAAGTTGTCGATATGAGCGTGCACAAGAAGTGCGACCTTCCGGACTGCTAACCGGACTGCTGATCGGATTGCTAGCAGTTCTCAACTAGTGGCATCGTATTTACGCTGCGCACCACAAAGCTGTGTTACTGGAGACGACGAGGGACGCGAACAGATATTTAATGCAAACAATGGTAGTTTGTTGTACCCATATTATTTTGATCGAACTGTACAGAGGTATATCGGGACAGGGTTATTCAGTCTAATACGGGATTGTATAATGTTCAGTCTTGGTTCAACATGGGTTGAAAGTTGTCTCCATTGATTGAGAAAATAACATGTCAATCCCCCAGCATTGGTTTATAATAAATAGATGACTGGAATTGCTGTAATCGGTCGTCAAGCAGCTTTTTAGCTGTTTAATAGAGCTACGCATAGGAAAATGACTGTCCGCCAGAGGTACAGCCAATGTTATCGCACTGTGTCGGCGAATAGGGGCTTTGGCGAGCACAGTGATAATATTGTCTTGAGCAGAATTAATATCGACATGGGTACGTGTAAGACAAGTAGCATATGTAAATACAGAAATATGACTTATAAACTGACATTCCAGCTAACGCAGCAGTACCAGAGAGAGAGAGAGAGAGGAATCACCTCTGAGCCGTCACATATGGTTACTGTAACAGCCGGGCCTTCATGTTAGAATATATGTATACAAACTTGCTAATGAAAAGGGGTCCCGTTGCGAGAATTAACATGTGGGAGAAGCGTTGATAGAAATTGTTGAAATTGATTAATTTCCTTTACCCGCCAAACCTTTCACATCGAAGGGTATAACGATTTTGATGGGAAAATGAGAGGCCAGGGCAAAACCACGGCTGATCTTGACAGAGCGGGAGCCCGTATGGACATATAGGTATCAATGAGTTTGTCTTCACTGTATGCCTTGATGACAAGCCCCATCCAATCCTCGGATCAGATTTGACTAGTTACATTCACACCTAATTTAGGCTAGCGATCACTTAGCTGAGGGGCACGTGTTAGAGTGGTGTCTTGGCCGCTGGCATGAATGACAGACAGGACACATTTTATGGGCAGGTAGGAACACCCTGGCTAGAAGACCTAGTGTCATACGTTGGTCGGTTGTCATTGGACTGCCGACACGGATGTACATAGAAGTTGTTATCACGTTTTTAATATTAGTAGTCATGTGAACGTTCTTTTTGGTATCTATCATTTGGGCATCACGACGATAGTCATCTGACCCCCTACCTCTGTAGCGGTCATATGATCTCCCACGATCATGGTCTCGCTCACAAGACTGACTGCGGTCGCTGAACGAACCTGAATATCCCCGAAACATGATGCGCGTGTCTCTGTCCCTACTTCACGTTGGCCAGTGGGATAGTCATCTACCGTAGTGAACACAAGCTTACCCACATCCGCTGCTAACTTTATAGGACCATAGTCATCCATTGCCTGGATCAGTGATGCTTTCTGGAGATTTATGAATAATTCTTCAAGACTATCAATCAATTTATCTGAATTTTTGTGCTATACATTAGGGTGTGACTTGCGTACCGCAATATCTAGTGTGCACACAGAAAGCAAGGCCTGATGCAAATCTGCACAAATATATTGTCAGGGAGCCGCTAGATCAGCTAATTCCGTGCTGGAGTTGTCATCTCTAGAGGTCGTGAGTCGCGGACGGTTCAAAAACGCGAACGTTGGGGTTTGCTCTGGATGTTATCTATAAGAGCAGTCAGGTACCAACACTCACGTTCATGAAGGTGTATGTACTTATGCTCCGTGCCGAGCTTAGGCGCCAGTATCCCTTTGCTGAGTACACGAAGTCATCATATCGTCATATGGACCCATCCACATGGGTCTTTGTATCACACTGACTTCTGAGCCGTCAGCTTAGCCCAGGGAGGGTACAAAAACTGCCCCCACATAGGAAGTAGCTTATGAGACTCTAAATATGTTGCTTTCAACCGCTGTTCGATCTGATTCAAATCCGGGTATGATCATTAACACCAAATACTAACTCATCACGAGCGCGATGTTGACAATGCATTGTAAATTCCTAATAAATGTCTTTGTTCTGCTGTAATAGTTAGCAGAGGCATGGTGTTGCACCGTAGAGCTAAAAAAAGGCAGCCGCCCCTGGCGGCGGACCCATTGGTCTGGTGGCATTCGTTGGCCATGAGGGGTGAGCATATATGTCTGTACACACTCGCTTGTTCCTATTCGCCTGGTCTCTGTTGTCCTGATGCCTATCATCCACCACAAAGCGCTTAGGTACCTAATCGATGATCAATAGGTGGGCCTTGTGGTGCGAAAAGGCTTAATTAAAACGAGTCTTGCACACTGATTCCTTCCGCAGCCAATATCGGCATACCCTTGCCCATGTTCTGACGGTTAAGTTGTGTTGCGATCTCTTAAAAGACTTCAGCATGTAGCCGATAATGATGGCCAGCACACCATAGTATGCAAAATCAGAGATAAACAATAATTTACACCGTGCAGCCGTCGGTGAGGGCGTGTTCAGAATCGGGGCCTCTTCTGACACTTGCGTACTATTCTCTCGTTTGGTCAAGTGGCCCGACAACCCATAAATAACAATAAGATACTGGGTGATTTCTTCCACTGTCGTGTCGGACCCAAGTTTAGCTAATACTGCTAGATAAATTAGTGTGTCAAGACACTTCATAAAGTGATCAATCTGTGCGGCATCAGTAGTGAGTTTTGTGTTCTCTTTTGCCGCAAACTTGTATAAATCCAAATTTTCATGTGGGTAGATATCGATCGTTGTAAACCGCTGGTGCCTGGGCTTGCCCGGAGGTATATACTTCCTGAAATTGGACCAATGTTCGTTTAGAAAGTAGTTATAAAATATAGGTATTTCAATAAAAGATAGCTTAACCCGCTGGCAATATTGGATTTTTAGATCAGAAACTCTGGCTAGGTAGTAGTCTCATTAGTTGGACCTTAGTTGTAGTAGACTATACACTGATGTTCGCTACCTAAACTACTAGTGTACAAAAGAACCCTACTATGGCTCGGTTCTCAATATAAGACTCAAGTTGGTCCATCTCAGGTTCAGGCCCATGTGTCCTTGGTCTGGATTTTGGACCTCCGGACTTCGGACAGCTCCTTGTGTTGACCTTACTCTCGGAATAAAGAATCCAAATATAGAGAACAGGACAGTCGCGAAGCATAAGAGCAGGTACAGGCGTTAGTCCTGTTCAGCATCGTGTCAGTCTCATATAGTGTCGGTACTACATGTGCATTTTCATGCTAAAAAAAAAGTGCAAGCAAACATCACCGTTTCGGTGTTAATATTTTAAAGAACTTAAATATTGATATCAAGAGAAAACTACTAGTCCATAATTAACAAGTAATTCGACAAATTGTTGAACAAACAGTACAGATTTAAAGCTTATGCAACGGACAATAAACGTACAGCACATTGGTCTACTGCATAGAACATTCAACTAAAGTTTAGTTCAATATGCTGTCTCTGCTTTGCCGCTATACCAGTTTGGGTGATTTGGACAGTACTTCCCAGCCTCTTGTACTACACTATATATACTGGATTTGTGACTATATATAAACACAAATTATCCAAAATTATATATTTACTACTAAACAAATATGCGTTTCGAAAAATGTTTAATACTAAAACAAAATTTAGTTTGACAAACGGCTTTGACTTTCTTTCCCTTGTAGTCATTTGGTCATTACAGAATATCAAATGCAAATCAAATAGTTGAATGTAGCTTCAAAGCGTATTCTAGGTCGCTATCGGATATTAATGTAAAATCGAGCTACGGACAAAAGTGGACGGAATAGATCAGACAGAGACCAAAATTCCAGCTTTGGGATCTTTTTAATATAAATCTGGAGGGGTTTTATATTTCGACCCCTAAATTGCCGGAGTCGAGTTTGAAAATCGACGATTCCACTTCCCTAGATTACGTTGTTCAAGTGAATGATAGTGTACGTTTATTCTATAAAATCGTTTGTACTGGTTTTGCTCAAAGTAGTCAATCGGTTGAAGTATATATTTGTTGAAGTCACCAGAAGTCAACCGGACAATTGGGCGTTAACATGATAAGGGGTTGTACAGAGAAACATCGAAATCCCGAACCACAACTATTGTTACAGTATTTATATGATAGACACAAAGCCGAGCATCGCGACACCAGCATTATTCACAGCACAATACTATTTCGAACTAGATAAAACCCCCGATTACATCGGAGCGTGTGCAAGGTCGCCAGATCGTTCGATACATGCACGTTCTCACATCTCAGACGTAATATTATCACAACAAAAGCAACTTCTCGATTACGTAGTGCCCTTTTAATGACTAAAATAATCCTACGTAGCAACGGCCGTCCCCACATCTAATTCCACACCTCTGTCGGCACTGGTATTTACATCTGACGACGCGTCTACAGATACATCCTGATTTGAAGACTTGCTCGGCGATATGCACACATTTGTCATATCATCCTGGATATCCTCTCTCACTGTTGTCGCATCGCTGTGAACGGGTGTCTCCGTTGCTACCTGCAATGTGCTTGCTATCTCTCCGCCTGCATTCACATCAGAGGCCTCGGCATGCAACGCTTTATGATCCGAACTCTCAGTACCACTGTTACCAACAGTCTGGTCTACTGCGCCATCTTGCGTTCTACTCTCCTCCTCCTCTTCTTTATCGAGATCCTCTTGTTCCTGTTTAACCATGGGCGTATCATCTCTTGCAATAACCTCGTTATCCTTCGCATTTGTCTGAAGCTGTTCATTCGAAGAGATTTTGTCAGAATCCGTTACTTTCCCTTCTTCTTTTTCAGGGGAGCCCACCCGCACGTCCACGAAACCATTGGTGCTCTCCACTCCTTTATTATCGGCACTCGGGACATCTGCCTGGTCCGCAGATGGCGGTGGTTGTGCGACTATCTCAGCGAAAGTAGCTTCATTATCCTTGCTAGCAGGTGATACTGGTTGAGCAATGTGCGTTCGCACATCCTTCCCTGGCGACCGAGTTTTAGTGTCGGCGTGTGTATCGCCATTCACGAAGCCGCTCTCCTCCTCGTCGCTATCGCCACCATCTCCATCAGAATCAAACAGACCCCCCGCAAACGCCGACTTTAACGGCCTGCGCTTCATCATCGGCTCAGGGCTGGGTGTGGCACGGTCCTCTTGTACACCATTCTCCGCTTGTATAGGTGCACCCTGACCCCCTGGGCGTGTCCATGTGTGCTGGCCCCCGTCTGTATGCGCATGCGACCCGCGGCCATCTCCCTGCCCAGAACCCACAGCCACCAGGGCCGGCTCTAGGTCGGAATTGGACAGGGCAGGACTTAACCGGGCGTTCCCATTGCGACTGATTGCGTTCGTGCCCTTGCCCTGACCCTGGCCGCTACCACTGCCAGCACCTCTATCTTCATTGAGGGACTGTTCCTGCTCCTTTGATATATCAATCGCTCTCTGTACATCGGCAGCCTCGCGTTTGTTTGTGACGGGGGGTATACTGCTAGTCCGCTTGATGGACCCGGATGACTCAGCTGAGGACCGGTACAAATGTGTACAAACAAGGCACATAGATTAGTCACTATCGAAACATATTGAAAGGTACTAGATACAGCAAAGTATCTAACAAAAACAACAAAGCAATTGGGAGCATCGAATATACAATCAATCGATAACACGCAGTATCGATAGGCAAACTAACTCAACATATACAAAAACCTCGGTGAAGAAGTACCTCTGCTGGTGAAGTACTTCTACGCTAAAAAAATTGGGTATCATGAGGTAAGTAAAGTGAAGCACGATAACGCCTACGCTACTAAGCGCTGATCAAATTCTGCTTTGTTGACCGTAGTATTGTCTCGTGAGAGAGTTCGTGGCACTTTGTCGGACGACCAGTGCTATCTCCGCCGGAGCACACATTAGATAGCTACATGAGATTGCAATGTACATGTACAACAAACAGACACAAACACATACCAAACCCAACAAACAAATAGTCATTCTACACAGTCGGGGACCACGAACCACAATGGGCAACCCGTAAATAGCCAAACTAGACTGACAAGCCACACTCATCGAGATCACACAATCGCCGGCACAGATTGGCACATATCTCAGCCAACACACCTTCGTTGCTCGCGTCTTTCCCTTTACTTGCAGCGCGTTTCGATAGGCGTTTACGGGAAAGTTCGGTCTCTGGAAATTTGAAGAGCTGTACATTGTTTTCGGTGCTTAAGCCCATCAGACACCGCGCCTCTTCATCCCATTGCATACTCGTTACGGGCAATACGTATCTGTCAATGGTTGGTGCCAGGCTGTTTGGTGGTGGATAAGGATTGTTGGGGTTTTAGGGGGTTGATACAAATATGGGTGTGTGGGTGGCGGGGGAGGGAGGGAAAGATAGAGTCTCGATGATGGTTATAGCTAGACGTACAGATGAGTCTGTGAGAACACCCGAGACTCAAACGAAGGCAATTAATGAGATCCCATTCAGGTGCTTGTAGGAGCATGGACATTGTAAAAGTGGTCCCTAACGCACGACCATTAGATGCCTCTACCTACAGCTCATGACCTTCAAGGAGATATACAACCTATGCAGGAGAAGTAGCAAGGCAAACAGAATGGCTGAGTATGATGTAGCTTGTACAAGTCCACGTGAGTTTGTTCAACGGCACACACAGCGCTGAGCACAATGGCGAAGGCCATACTCCTGAGACGTACTTTCCGGCAGACAAGTGTTGTACAAACACAAAGCATCAAGCAGACTCTGCGCGGAAAGGGGTGCTTTAAATGCACATCTGAATCACACCGCGCCTTACCACCACAACGGCAGTGTTTAGTGTTTAACATACACCTCCAACCCCAAACACGTACGAACCCCTGGCAAAACACACGCACAAGGCCCACACGACCACATACTCTTCCGGGGCAAGTTCCGGCGCACACGTTTTGCACAGATACACAGGCAGCTCAAAGCCGCCACGCGGAAACGGTTTCTTCAAGGGCACACACGAACCACACAATGCCATGCCACACCGACGGCAGTGGTGCTGGCGGGCTGTGCTCGGGGGAAACGCCATCACCCAAAAGAAGGACTTGCCACACAGCTGACACGTGTCACTGTCTGACCACTCGTGCGCCTGAGAAGGAGATGGGAGGCGGATATGAGAAGTCTGAGGGTATATATGTATGTAAAACGGGTTACGGATAGAGGCTTCTGAGTGTATGTATGTATGTATGAATGAAGGAAGACGGATATGAGAAGTCTGAGGGTATATATGTATGTAATACGGGTGATGGATAAGGGCTTCTGAGTGTATGTATGCATATATGTATGACGGGGGACGGATTAGAGACTCAGAGGGTATATGAGTGACTATGACATAGATTGATTGGTATGTGCCTAGCTGTGCACGTGGGTATATACAGACGAGCATGCGTAGGTAATTTTGCTGATAAGGTACCACAATACACCACTGTACACAGACAATCAGCAATAGATTAACACAGCCATACTGTAGGACACCTATAAAATCATTAGCACAGCACTGTACACGCAGGTGTCTACCTCTACGCTTACGCATCTCTTACCGGTCGACGGTCACGGCCCATATCCCACACCACAAGCGAATGACTGTCGTCCAGAGACAGCAGCTCATCTTCGTCTTCGAGATAGCACAGCGACCGCACAGGCGTAAGATGGGCATTGAGCTCGTAGCTGACTCCCTGGGTAATTGGTCATAGTGATAGTGTGTGTATGCACAAGGGGGTGTGCTGTGTGTGTATGCATGAGGGTGTGTGTTGTGTGGGTGAGCGTATGTTTACAGATGATAACAATAATAAGAGTACCTGAAAAAGTTGGTATGTTGGTATGTATGTACATAAGAAAATACACAGGCAGCTCGTCTTCTTCGTCGAGATAGCACAGCGACCGCACCGGGTTTTAAGAGTTTAGGGGGTTCAATCCTAAACCTAAATTGAGCATTCAGTTCATAACAGACTAGGCAGAGGAAGTCTAATACACTCTTATTTTCTTTCGTCCTCATCACTCGCAACGATACTTTCATCATATCGAATACTTTCCTATGAGCTAATGAGTGAGGAAGCTCTCTGCTCGTAAATAGAAAATGCACCAGTGGGTACCGAGAAAACACGCGTTTGAAGCGATTTGATTGGCGCTGTACTAAACTTACGTTTTTACCGGCGATGTCCCAGACCACTATGCGAGAGTCTTCGCTGGCAGAGCACAGCCAACCCTTCGTCTCTAACCACAGCAATCGAGTGACAACTACAAAAATGGGAATTAATTGAAATAGCTGAATTGATAATAAATAATCAATAAACGGAATTGAGAGCCACAGATAGGCGGAATGATTGGATGTATCATAAATAATAAATAAACGGCAATAAATGCCACAGATATGCGAAATAATTGGATAGATCAGAAATGAAATATAAACAAACTAAATGCTTGTGAATGCACTATAAATATACTGACTGTCTGGCAATTGAATGCCCTAAAAATGAAAGCCCAAGATTTAGACGAGATACTTGTATCCGAACTATATATATAACTACATCCACCTGAACAAAATATAGAACTACATTCACCTGAACAGAATATATAACCACATTCACCTGAAGCCCTCCATGGTCGACTATCTACTTCTGTTTATTGATAGTATGACAACTTTTCATGATACCATAAAATTCAGTACTACGTAATGGACTATTGTTACTATGGTATAAGTGTTATATATACAGCAGTCTAGTCATCTGGCATTGATAGTATGAGAAATTTTCATGATACATAAAACTCAGTACTACGTATTGGACTACTGCTACTTTGATATAAGTACAGTCTACAGTCATCTGGCATTGATATCATAAGTGATTTTCACGAATATATATATAATTCAGTACTACGTATTGGACTACTGACACTATGATATAGATACTATATATACAGCAGTTTAGGGACCTCTGACACTGAACTTACACCTGCAGCTGTTGATAATGCGCGTAATTTGCGACCTCGAGACGGTTTACAATGCCGATTAAAATATAAACACGTATTGTGTACATCTATCCGAACAAATTGTCATGTGTCATATGCTTCGTTCTAGCCAAAGTAACCAATATCTCGATAGTTTACAACAACATACCGTGATAAAAACCGAACAATTATACTACAGATACGAAAACAATAATAGACATACTCTCAGCGGATGCAGCATTCGATCGTGCCCATTTCCAAGTGTGCACAGAATAAAATAAACCAAACGAAAAATACCTGTAGCATGTCCTTTAAGCACATGCACCTCCCTCAAATCGCCTTGTTTGGACACAGACAGCAAGTGTATTTGGCCCGTCGCCACTCCCACAAATACAACCTGCGCGATGCAAGTGTATGAGAACGAGACTTCAGTAGGTTCGGTACCTTACACCGTCTATACATGTACCTTCAGTAAAATCGATACAATTAGTGTCCATTCATGTATGCATAAATACGAGTTGGTACGGATACACACAGAAAGGGAAAAGAAAAACAAATATCATGCGTGTAAATAAGTACCAACCAGCAATAGTTTACAGAGGCGCTTGTTTTAACTAAACTTTCCGTGACAAATAGAAAGAGAAGCCGATTGCAAAGCCGGCGTAATAGTAGCTAATACATACACCGTTCGCACCCATAGTCTACCAGAGCCAATTTGACACTGAACATATCATACTTACACGCGGGCGAAGAGAGTATGTGATTGTGCGCCAATCAGACTTTCAATTTAACGTTTTAATCGTGCGTGTGACAACACGTTTTGGTATCCGGTAGGTAGAATGCCTGTATCACATACGAAGGACTGCCGCTTAAGAACATGATAGATGCGTGGAGAGGGTAGAGAGCCCAAAGTACATAGGAAGTTCGGCACTAGAACGAGCTGAGTATAACCCAACTGGAACTAGAAGAAGAGTTGTGGGCACGGTGTATAGTTTTCACGATCGATGACAGGGCAATGTGCATGGGCACAGACACAAGTTAGGTTCAAGAAGATACACACAAGATTGGAAAGGAGAATATAACAACAAAGACATGTGATGTACTCGTGAGTCGTTATAGGTATACATACACCTCCTACCCCAATATATATATATATATATATATAGATATTGATAGATGTATGGATGGATGGATGGATGGATGGATGGATGGATGAATGGATGGATGGATGAATGGATGGATGGATGGATGGATGGATGGATCGACGGATAGACAGATAGATAGATATATATTTATATATATACGTAATATCCAGATTGCCAGGATGACTACGTGTAATGATTAATATTCTTGTATCCGCTCAAGCGAAAGCCCCGTACAATAGGAGAAGTGAACCAAACAGGCCACACTTACAGCTAGCACACCTCAACGATTTCGTCTAAACACATTGACATACACTCATATGTTTAAATAAAATCCTTGCCGCTTATACAATACTTTCTAAGTCTTGGTACATATACAGTGCTGTATACCATACTCTTGACATACATTCGAAAATACAATACGTGATATACACAGCTATACATTCAATACTCATTCATAAATTTAATACTCTCTATACTCAGCTAAACATATATCACACATTCATAAATTTAGTACTCTATACAGAGCTTGACATACATCACACATTCAAAAATTTAATACTCTGAACACAGCACTCTGAACACAGCACTACATACATTGCTTTTGGGGCAGTACTGTACACACATGGCCCAGTCCGCGAATGTGTAGGACGACAGTATCTCCATTGTTTCCAACCGGCGCACCACAAGTGTTCTGTGGTAAAGATAAGGCCATTTTGAGGACATCTACAATAGTTTGATATTGCTTTCGAATTAGTGTCAATCCCGAGCGATCTCTCAAGTCGGTCACATGCTGATCTGAATGTACATACCAGCTGTATAGGATTGAATCAGTACGACGACTGGTACTGGGTGAGGATATGCTTTAAGAATCTCTACAACCCTAAAACACACCTGTGTAGAGATAATTCGACAAACAATACCTATCACGCGATGTCGTCATGATGAAGTTCTGCTGCGCACTGACCATGATGTCTGTCACTCTATCGGTCTGATCTGTAACGTGGGTTGGATGCAATGAAACTGAGCTCGCGCTGATGCCTTGCCAAGGGATGCGAGTGTTTTCTGTCAATGTATGAGTGTGTAGTGTGCGGATTCAAGTATTTAATATATATATATATATACATACAGTATAATATAAACATAAATAATACAAATGGGTAAAGTAAGTAGAAAAAGTAAGATACGTTAATACACACACACACACACACACACACACACACATATATATATATATATATAAATTATGATAAGAATGTCAATAATAATGATGTTGATAATGAAAATAATAAGAATGACAATTATTGTAACGATACACGCGTTCTTTACAACAGAAAACCGTACATCTCGGATGTGTTATTTTATCTCTATCTTCTCACAAGCAAGAGCTTTGTCATCGACAAAGTGAGATGTCTCTAATCTTCCACTTACTAACACGATAAGTTCTTTCCAAATAAATAAATAATTTCGAACACATTTGTAAGGCAACATACTTTATGCCAAGATACAAACAATAATTTGTACCACCACAACGAACATACATTGTCAAACAACTGCGAAAGGCAGGCGCATGATTTGTTCCTGCACGTACAAGGATTGGCACAAGCACATCAACTGGCAACATACTTTCATACGTCTTGATGTGCTCTATTGTTGAGCAATCCTTGATACGGTACTTATTCACATTGCCGTTGTAGAAACCTGCAAACAGTGTGCTCGAGGTGTAGTCGAAGCCCAGTTTAGAGATGGATCGGCGGACTCCTCTGCGGAAAACCACTTCATATAAGGCACCTGGCGAGACAAACAGAGAAGAAAGGAATGAATGAGAGTGAAGGTCGCGTGCGACACGGATACACAACAGTACGTGAATTCATAGATGTCTTTGATTTGAACAGGGATGTACTAGTACATACATATAGAAGTATATATATAAAAATATATAAATATAGATATACATATGGATATGAACATAAATATATATCGAAATAGCAATAGAAACATA